CGATATTTTAGATAAATAAGATTTTTTATTGTATACTAGCTTTCGCCCGCGACTCTGTTCGTGTGGAAGAGTAAAAGTAAGTAGACTATGTGTTCTTCCAAGCTATGCTCTATATCTATGCCAAAGTTCAACGATATCTATTCAGTTTTTTACATAGTATTTTTTTCACAAACATCCATCCATCTAAACTTTTGCATTTACAATATTAGTAAGATTTAAATTCATTTATGATCGGTTTCCCAGTTACTTTTAACCATTCCTTATTTTATTAAATGCTTTTCCGAATTTCGTAACTTGAGTTTTACTCTATCTAAATATGTCAACCTAACACTAACGAATAACTAGGTAATGATAAAATAAATAGAAACTTTAGAAACCAAGCATTCATAGATTAACAGATATTTAACGTAAATATCTACGTGTTTATGTATTTACATAGCTGTGAAGTGTTGTTACAGCTGCGGTTAACCTATATCGAACGTTCACATTGCGGTCCTGATTTTCGGTAATGGTAATGATCGAATATTTTATTGAAAGTTAAATCAAAATGCATTTAACATTATTATAATAATTATTTTATTTCAAGAGTAAAAATAAGCTTATAAAATTGTTAGTCTCTTATACTATGTTAATAACAAAACGGAATATAACTAATATTTTGCACTTAACAAAATTCAATGAGCAGAGTGCAAGTTTAGACAGCTGTTAAGGCAGTCAATCCTGCTGGATATCAGATGGAGAATGATATTGGAGGTGGCTCGCACCTTGCGCACCAGGGACGCGCCTCTCTTCCGTATTGTTGCATAAAAGCAATCAGCGCGTGCTTCAGCAAACATCCCTGATGCGCTACAGAAGCGAGGCCACCAATAACACTTTGTACGCATAGTTTTATTGGACTCAAATGGCGTTGTATTAACTATCAATCCTCGCTGAGCTAGTGTGGTTGACTATGGTCTAGTCACCCATAATTTATTGTACGCTCCGAGAGACTCAAAGGAAACGTATAGTGAGATAATAATGATAATAGTTTTCTAACCGGAGAGAATTATGTGAGTGAATTATTAAATTTATCTGTTGGTCGCTGTTGCGAGCGTGGAATTAAAAAAATAATAAAAAATATATGCCTATGTTACTCACTGATAACGTAGCTTTTTAGTGGTGCAAGAATTTTTGATAACGGCCCAGTAGTTTTTGAGTTATTTCAAAACATGCAAAAATACATCTTCCTCTTTAAAATGTTAGTATAGAATACATATTGGGACCACAATTAGTACTAGTATTAATACCACTAACAGTGTAAAGTACTATTAGTACCACTGTACCACCAATGGTTGGCACCACCGTCTCTTAGTTCTCTGTCTGAGAGTAAATTTAGATAAAGCTTAAAAAAATAATCAATTGAGTTCAAATATGGCTTAAAATTATCAGTATTAATAAATGTAATTTTTTCATATGATGACAAAGCGGATGGCTCATGTTACTATAAACATGAATCTCGGTACAAAAATTATAAATCGATATTTTAATAACCGCTGTGGAACTGACAGCCTCGAAAACGGATATTTTCGTACTAATTTCACACGAGGGCTGAATAGAATACAATAGTTACTGTTAATATTTGAACGCCGAGACAAGTGTGATAGAGTTAGAACGAAGAAAGGAATGATTGTTTGAAAAGATATGCATAAGAAGGGAGTGAAATAAAATATACAAATGTGTGGCAGACACATGTGCGTTTAATTAATAATAATAGTGATCTACCTGACTGTTATACCCTCGTGTGAAACTAGCATAATACCGCCAACAGTCACCCCGCGGCACGGTTCAGCCGATGCTATCAAGTGTCATTGTCAGGTGGATACAGAGGTGGGAGGAGGGGGGAAGTGGGAGGTAGTTGTTACATTAATCCGAAACGCTATTCCAAACTGTCATGGAAGCAATTTGTTTACGACAAACAGTTTAGCTACATAATCCTCAGATTCCAACAGATGCAAAAATATATATCTCAGTGTTTTCAAGAAAAATGAGTCAGATGAGTGTTGGCCAAAACAGTGGAAACTGACGTTTTAATGTCCTTGGAATCGCGCCACTTTTGAATGCATTTAAGAACTTGAAGAGGTAATATCGTGAAATGTCGGCATTTACGCAAATGTACGGCTTAACTGCAACGCCGTCTAGACAAAGCTATTCCTGTTTATGATATTGATGTATAGGTAACTTTATCTGCGGTTTCTTACTGTTTTCTGTAGGGATTTTAAAGTAGAAAAATGTAGTCTATCTATTGTAGGTGCTTTCGTGAAATTAGAATAGTCACAATACATCAGGGGTTCTCAAACGTTTACGTCGTGGACCTCTTTCAATGTTTTACTGCGATCGGTGGTCAATTTTATTTTTGCTCCCAAGAGGGCGCTGGTTTCTAAGAAACAAATTTAATTAATTAATAGTATGATTTAACATTTTAGTTCATTTAAGAGCGCACTCAAGGGCAAGCCTTTAGTGGAACCTCGGGGTCCACTTAGAGCACATTGAGAATCACTGAAATAGATAGATATAAGCTCATCCTAATTTTAATTCTTGTAATTGTGTTTGTGTAACTTTAGAGCAGTGAGAGCCCGCCTTTGAGTGTAAAAGCTTGAACATGACCGAACGTTTTCTTACATAACAAAGTTTATCTTTGCAAATATTCCTTATGCTGGCATTTTTCATCTAACGCGTCATTTAACTTGGGAAGTTATTCATGTTTGAGTTGTAGTTCGCAAGCCAGTTTATCAATTTGTGTGATTGCTGATTTTAGATTTTGTGTATCTTGCAAATAAGCATTAAATTGTATTTTGTAATATCTTAATACTGTTTTATTTCTTTTTACAGATGTTAAGGCTCTTAATTTTTTGTATGTAATGTATTGGTTTTGTCAATGATGCTTTTAAATTCAGTTTCGACTTTTCAAAATGTTTACCATTCTGTTTAGCTTGTTTATTTTATTATACTGTTAAATTCGAAAAATTGGATGAAATATCACACAGATGTAGAATATAGTATGGAAAAACGGATAGGTTTCTTACTAATTTTTTATTTTGCCCGGTTGACGTCGCAAGCAAATATTCATATAATGATTTACAAATTCAATTAAATTTGTTATGTTAAATAGGACATTTTATAACGATTGTAATAAAGGATATTAAATAATAACAAGGGGTCAGAGGTTTAGGGGAGAGTTCTCAAAACAACAAACTTCAGCAAACGTAAATCATAATTAAATTTTTATCTTGTTGCGGAGCCGAGTATCGTTTTAATGACAATTAATGGGAACAGCCCGAGGCTTATGAAAATGCCAGTTCTAATGCAATGAATCTTAATGCTGGGATTTTAGAAATAAATTGTTTATTATGTATTATTTGAAGCAGTTTTTAAATTAAATTGATTAATTCTTCAGTACAATGGATTACAAAAAAGAAGAGACGATATTTTTTTTTTTAAATAAATGTAGCAATACGATTTTACAGATTGAAAATAACATATGGATTAAAAAATATCTAGCCTGGTGGGCAATAATCTAAATACATTATAATAGCTTATGTTTCCGTCGCTCGTTTGCCCCATCTCGTATAAAAAAAATCATATTGTACACGTTGGATTTTTTTTATATGAGAAGGGGGCAAACGAGGGCGGGAACACAAAGGTGGTATTATCGGACAATTTACAATTTGGTGGGACAGGCCCTTAAGCTGTTAATTTAATCTAATAGTGTCTCTAAATCCACCCTCACGTGTAATTAATAGACGGACGAAGAAACGTTGTTTTATTAAAGTCATTGACGTTATAAACGTCGCTACGCTAAATAGACTTAACTAATGTATTCTTTTATTAGACTTTTTAGAGGTAAAATTAAATTTACAAGTCATTAACATGGTAAATTCATCATCTTCTTTATCCTACTCCTGTAGGGTCGGTGCGACAGATTTTTGTCCTCCACATAACTCTATCATACGTCATCTCAGTCACTTCCTTCTTGATCATATCATCTTCACGCGATCTATCTCTTTCTAGGTTCTCCTCTTTTATAGTATATTATAGAAATAAAAACTTTATGTACAGCATGAATTAAATCCCACAGTAAACAACGCGAAGGCTTCTTGATGCAAGAGAAACTTGTCAAAGGCCGGTGCAACATTTTGTTACACTGGTATTGTGGATGTCTATAGCGTCGTTGATCATCTCATTGTTACGTCTGTTAGATTGTCCCATTATAATAAAATTAATAAAAATTTACTTACGAATTACTATATACACTTTCTCTCTATTCTATTCGTAGATTGTTAGAGAATTATCATGTCTGTTACATGATAATTCTCTAATAATCTAGAATATTAATTAGAACTTTCAATAATCTAAAATTAGATCTATGTTTTGGTGTATTTTTTTTATCCCATGCCACTTAAAAAAAATACATTACAAAATTGAATTTGACATGTCTGGTTGTTGTGTTAATTATTAAAAATATATTTTTAGAATGTTTGTAAAATACGTGATAAACTCAAAAGTCAAAAGAATCAAGCCTTACGTTACTGTAATGTATTCCATATGTACATTGCTTACATTTAGTTTGTTCGTTCTCTGTGCTAACATTGTGAATGGAAATGCTCGAACAAGAGGCAGTATGTTTGATATCAATATGCGCCGGAAGCAAGAAACGAAGAGATTTCTATTATGTATATAACAATAGATATTTTGCGTTTTGTTTTCTATCTTGCAATGGATATACGTAGTTTTTACCGTAGTATATATTCCTCTCATTGCAAAGTACTCGTATTCTGTTTCTGATTTAATATTTTACGAGCGAGTGTTGAAACAAATGTTATTCTGATTCGTAAGCGGTGATTACAATCTGATATGCGTTAAATTAAAGGGGTTAAGAGTTTTAAATGTCGTTTCAGTATACGGTCATTAAAATATTAAAATTTCCTTATATATGATGTATTTATGATTTATTTCTGTTTCAGGTAAGTGGACGGATTACAGAAGTTAATTTCGTAACCAGGTACAGTATTGGTTTTATTTATTTTTGTATTAATTAGAATAACATAAATAGACATTTCATCATTTTTCACAGTAAGATAAAGAAACAAGCCAACACAGTAATGCTTTATTCACCTTAAAGTGGTTACTTTGCGTTTAAATATTAAAAACTTTAAGAGATATCAAATGACGATCGCATATAACCTTATTACTATAGTCTATTAATGTCGAACTAAAATATTCATTTTTTAAACGGCGTTAGACCGATAAGACGCTATTCACGAAGTTGGTGAAAGAGGGCTTCTACATACTAGTGCAAATGACAACATATAAAACAACCCGCCAGTCACAATGAATTGTAAACTGGTTAATTACACCTCGTAAATTCTCCACGTGAGGGAGTCGCTGGAGTAATGGCGTACACGCGTAAGAACGTAATATCAAGATAATGCCAGCAATTTGTCACTGTTTATAACTTGAGCTAGTTTAATTTAAATACTATGATGTTCACGTTTGAAAAGTAAAAGGCTTATTATTTTTTATAATATAAGGTGGCAAACGAGCAAGCGGCTACCTGAATCCACCGAAATGGAAAGCGACCGCTGCCCATAAACATCCGCCATTGCAGATGCGTTGCCTACCCTTCATTGACGGAGGAGACGCACATAAAGAGGACATTTCAGCTTCCTATGCCTCCATCGTCAAATTCACTTTTCCTTCCCATACTTTCCTCTGACGAAAAGTGTGAAAAGGGACTAAAATTAGGCCTCCGGCACCACGCTCATCAGACGAAATGCGGAATTGCTTCGACTTCACCTCTGTTTTCTGTGTGGTCGTGGTATTACACCGGGCAAGCCGGCCCATTGATGCGAAGATGTTAAAGCGGGCTCTACCACATGTAACAAGAACCTTTAGTTACGAGTTTAACAATCGATAATTGAATAATGCGTTAGTTAAGTCAAAGATGTGCGCGCTTTAATCTTTACACGGTAGAGTTTTATCTCAACTTTCCACAGAGAGTGAAACAAAAAATGAATCTAAATTCATTTTTTATCTTTGGAAATTCTTAGAGAAATTAAATTAGCTACTAACAAACTGTCGTAAGTAATTTTCACGGTTTATTGAAAAATATTCTAGGGAAAAAATTTTTTTACAAAACGCCCAAGGAGGATGAAAATTAGTAATTAGTCTTAACAAAAGTTTGACAGCTTCGAAGCACGGTCAAATCTCACGAGAGTGAAACTTAAACTTTGTACTTAAACTCCGCATAAATGGAATCATATTTTCGTAATAAGTTAGAAGAACTTTGATGTTGTTTTTTAAATATTTTTTAAAAGTTTTTATGTGGCCTTAAAGTAAAAGATTAAGTTACAATACTAGCGATCCTACCCAGCTTCGAGTGAGTGACAAAGAATACTTATGATATGTTTTTTTGACCGACTTCCCAAAAGAAGGAGGTACTCAACACGTCTGTATGTTTTTATTTATGTGTATTACGGCATAACTCCGCTAGTGGACCGATTTTTAATAATTATTTTTTGTTACAATCTACCCGTTTTTGTTAAATATAACCTATATTACTCAGTAATAATATTGCTTTTTAAACTGGAGAGATATTTTCAAAAGGGTTCACTAATTTCGGCGCCAATTCAATGCAAAAAGTATTTCCTATTTAATGTAGTTATTTTTTATTTATTTAACTTTGCTAAAGTTTGTATGGGAAGTAATTTCATAAAGTACTTCGTATGAATATGTCCCAATGGGTCAAGGAGTCCAGTACTCGGGCGTGTCAAGTACTGGCGACTCGCCCACTGGAGATTAAATGCAATCGCATTGCCAAAACTTATAAGTTACGTAATAAGTCGAGAATGATGGGTCGTTCAAGTAACATTTAGCTTGTAAACTTACACTTCAAAATAAACCAAACTCTTACTGGACATGACATTACTATGTCTTGTCATAAGCTTAGACTTATTTACTGTTAGTTAGTACAATCGTTAGACGAAATGCGGAATTGCTTCCACTTCACGCCTGTTTTCTGTGTGGTCGTGATATTGCACCGGGCGGGCCGGCCTATTCGTGCGAAGATGTTAAAGCGTGCTCTACCACTGTTACCTTGGTTGGACATGAAGTGGGATGAATCGCGTGTAACAAGAACCCTTAGTTTACAGTAAATAAGTTTAAGCTCACATGTTCAGGTTCAACTGCCCAGTTTTTATTTAACTTTACCAGAGTAAACTGTTCAGTTTTTAGCGGTCTTTGTTTATTCAATTCTGACAATTTTATTTCCGCGGCGTAAATATGTGTGTTAAAAAAAGAAAACTCAATTATACTAAAGATCTTGGATTTGATTAAAATGTTTTCTTTTGTTATAACAAAGAACGCTGATGTGATGAAGTGACCAGCAATTAAAAGTCCCTTTGTAGCTTCTCTCGTGGTCACTCGACGTCGTCTGTGTCACTGCCAGGTATATGTTTATCTATACTTTTATACTAATATTATAAAGCGTAAACACATACTACTTCGTGGCATAGGATGTCAGCTATCACAGTATATTTTTATTTTTTTCCTTAATAAAAAGCTCTATACTTATGACACGCTTTAGGCTATATTTGTACATATTTCACGTTATTAAACTTAGGGGGGTAAATAAAGTGGAAAAAAACCCTTTACGTGGGAAAGAGACTATAAACTACAAGCTGCCAACATTAAGGAAACAAGGTTATTTTGACATTTCGTATGAAGAATTTGACAAATATAAATAATAAAATAAAGTTTTTATAATTTCATGCGGATAAATCCGCACGGGAACGGCTAGTTGTCTAATAAACTCTTAACGGCAAAACTATACAAATATCACTATAGTTCTCTCATTTAAAGATCTAGGTTGCGACGCGACGCTGACAAAGAACTCGAGGAATTCCTATTTAAGATCTCATATCCTGTTCGTAGCGTTGTGTGGCGAGGATCTGCGCACATCTCCTATTATATTATGATATATTGAATATAAAAAAAACCCTGGCAGGCAATACTTAGCATACAAGACCTTAAACAATACTATAGAATTATGGAAGTCGTAGGATTCGGTTGAAAATTTAAAAGGCACACTAACGAGAGAAATAAGAAATTAAAGCGACGACAGAGGGCGCTGCACCATTAACCCAGATTTGCTCTACTCATTAAACTGCCTTGCCTGTTGCCTCAAACGACTTTTTATCGCCGGCAAATATTTTTAAGATTAGGTACAAGCTACGGATTAAGTGCACCCACCTGAATAGAAAATGTAAAACTTAGACGGATTTTACCCTCGTTTATGAGGCCAATATTTAAAAACGATACGCTAGGCTCATTTTTTTGTAATTTGACTGAACAATAAATCATTTATGCAAGGGAAAACGCTTTGCTAACGAAAACAGGTACTATTTCATATTACTAAAACTAATCTACGTTATCCAAATAGAAAATAAACCAATATAAATGGATGTTTACAAAGAAACGTGGCGGCGGAACAAATAGTTAATTTGAAAGTTCCATGCAACAACGGGGGTTTGTTTAATTTTAATTAGTGATAAAGCCTCTATATGAAATTTATAACAGCATAGTTGGGGGCTTTGTTCGCAAAGTAAACAAGAAAATAATCCAGGCTTAATGCCGGGAACAGTGGCAGATATTAAAATATTCCCGCGCACTGTGTAATAAAGCTATGTTTGGCCGTCCGAAGCGGCGAGAGAGCGGCCGGCAGACGAACGAGTGAACATGGGAATCAGGCCGCATATTTGTGGTGTAAGTGACGAGCAGTAGCGTTTTTACGGCCCAATCACTTACACATTTACATTTCAATATACTAATGCACTTTTGGTACCTCGGCAGCCAATGTTTCTGAATTCGGGTTAATTAATAAAAGGACTTCTTTTGATTTGCTGCTATTTTACCACTTTTTAATCACTTTGGTGATATAAATAATTACTAACTATTAAAACAGGTTGTCAAATCTTTAGGGAACTTATTTTCGTAATGCAATAAATATATTCGTAGCACATTCGTAGAATAAACGAGGCATGCTGTTACAATTTCAGAAGTATTTGCAGGTTTATGATTTATGTCAAAATAGTTAAAAATATTTTAAATGGACCGCCTTCTCTTAAAACTTGCCCCAAACTGAAATATGACTACAACGTGTTTTTGTTTTTCTCCTTTTATTGTGTTGTTACAAATTCTCGATACAAGTACCTAGGATTTTTCACTTCGCCAAAATTCACAATTGGAATAGCTTTAACTAAGAATGCGTTTAGAAAGAAACAGATTAAGGTGGGTGGAATTTAAATTTCCTACGTTTTGTGAATGAAGACAGTGTTGTATATTCCAATATTTGGTAGCATTTTCTCCTAAAAATAATGAATTAGATATTACGACAGAAAAGTGAAGGACGTGTTGTAAAAGGTGTTTGAAATGTAGGGTTTCCTTCGAAATGTGTGAAATTCTGAACAATAAAATCAATAGACAAAATTCGATAGAGATCCCTTTTCCATTTTCTCCAGTTCCAATATTCTCAATGTCTTTGTTTAAAAAACGTCTGATGGAAAAGATCCCGTGGGCCAATGCAGAGAGGATAACAAATAGTGTTCGAGTAATGCGACGACGTAACTTTGAATAATATTCATGATAAGTACCGCCTTTGACACGTGCTCGTGTTTCCTTAGCGAGGGCCCTTCGAGAGTGCGCTACGAAAACTGAATTTCCACTAGTAAAGTGTCGCACTCGGGCTCTTGTCACGGTATCTTGAAGCACAAAGCGCTGCATTTTCTCTTTTTACAACCCACTCCGCGGCGCATTCAAAGTTTCCACTCTCGCCACTCCACTTGGCGAATTTGCATCTAAATTTAAAGCGCAGTATCCGCAACAAGGGGAGGATGTCAGGGCTGCATCCGAAATTGGGACAAGGTAAAGCGAATAAGATATATTTATTTTATTCACCCATTTTGTAAAGTTACGTCCTACTTTTGTTGTAACCTCATAGCTGAGTGCATTAGCCTCTAGTTGCGTTACGTTTTACTGATAGCTAAAAGGTTAATAAACAAAATGTACACTTTTAAACGATTTGTCTGTTCTTTTCAGATCTTAAACTGAAACAATGCTGAAAAAAGGTTAGTATCTTTGTTTTAAATTTAATTAAAAGAAGTAATATTTAAAATAGAAAACCCATAAGTTACTTTTAAAGTAGAATCATGTTTGTTGATCAAGTAAAGCACAATGTTAGTGTTACTGTAAAATATTAGCTAATTAAGATGAAAATTATCAGATTATTTACTCATATCAAAGTTAACGGTTTAGATGTCTGATGTATATGACATAAACACGTAAACATCAAACATAAGTTATAAATGCATGTGCATGAACATACATGCATTTATAATAGATGAACATTTATAATGATATTCGTATTGTAAACTAAAACGAATGAAAACGTATAAATATAAGAATACGACATATGTAAAAACAAAAGTAATCATTACCTCAAACAATTTTTATACATTTCAATTGTACTTAGTTCTAACTTAAAAAGTTTATATTATCTAAGAAATCGTCAATTCTTCCACTGTAATATTTTAAACCAATATATTAAGAACATGAGAAGGAAAACAATAAGGTTAAAATTAATAACGCATCTATCAATTTCGCGTTAGATTTTGAATTAATATCTCGTTACTCCCGAGTTTTGAATCCCAACGGACGTACATCGAAAGTAACGTGCCAGTGTTATGTTTGCTGAACCGTTAAAGATATATCTCACTACCTCTCAAAAGTCCGTAAGTGGCTCAGAATGATTGGCTTTTATAAAACAACAGTCACTGTAACAGATTTAGTACGAATAAATATTTTTAATAAGAAAATACATCAAATCTCATTTATTTTTTAGAAACCCTTATTGAGAAACTTTTAAAATATTTTAACTATTGTTAATAACAGAGTGAGGTTTTAAAGACTGTTTAATAGTACGGAAAATTGGGTCACAATTCCTACCTATAGTTTCAAATTATTCTTTATTTAAATACACGAATAAAGTAACCCGCATGAATTAGACATATTGGGAATGAATTAGTGGACTTGGCATGCATTCGTTAGTCTACAATTTCTTGTTTCTTTGTAGCAGTTCGTAGAGTATCGATTAAATAGAGTAGACAGTTGAATAAGTCGACGATCATTTTGAATGATATTCGTCAATTCAAGATGTTAAAATGCAATTCTTTATGTAAAATCGATGAAATATTGTGGTGCTCAAATCTAATTTAGTATAGTGATACAAAATGTTTGTAAAATATTATACTAAAGGTGAAATGTATTTCATAATGTAACATTTTCTTTAAGAGGCTAACTTTTAACTTTTTTTTTATTGTTAAACGAAAAAGGATTTTGTTTTAGTACAGGTTATAAAGTAGGTATTTCAAAACAGTTTCCGCTCTTACGGCTTTCGCGTGTGGAGAAATGAGAGTCGTAAACCGGAAATGAAACTTTTCAATTAGATAAATCAAAACGGTAAAACAAATGGACGGACTTGTTTTTTAAAAGTCTCACACATCTCAATTTTTTAGGTAAATTACGTTGTAATTTTTACTTGTCTCAAAAAGTGCATATTATAAGTTTTTTTTATGAGACTACGCTGTCTTTAGTATTAATTAACTTTTAAATGTGTAAGTAGATGTTTTTTTTTTTAAATTTGATTTTAGCTCTCCGGTATTATGTGTTTTAAATTTAATAGTGTACATACGTTAAGTCCGAATGTCTGAGAGCACTGCATGAGTTGAATGAAACTCAATTCATTCAAAACTCAATAATCGTTAAAAAATATTTCTCTCAATTTCAATTCACTCAATATTCCGGGCCGTGAGTGTTTCGAGCGACCGTCACGTTAAACGCCACACAAGAGCACTTAATTACTTGCTTATTGCAGCGGTTTTAAATGCACCAAGTTCGCACTGTCTGACTCACCGCTAATATTGTTCATACAATTTAAATGTATAAATACCATGTGTTTTTTTTTATTTCCACGTGGAGTTTTATTAGTATTTTTTTAATACTTAACACATTTCGCTCTTTGATTATGTTCTAAAATGATTTGGATTTGTAAATTTTATTGACGTGACTTTCAATGTACAGAATGAAATGCTAACTTTTTTTACACATAGAGGTTGCTTTCATGATATAAAAGTTTCGAAATAAATCATGTTTGATTTTCATTTGTTTGTCTTCGTTTGATTTGAAGTGAAAGATACTCAGCGCTGATTGTGGAGAAGTTGTAAGTCATTCGAGAGCCATTCAATTGAATGAATGGTACTTTTAATTACAAGAGAGCCTCCGTTTTGAATTTCGTCCGGCGACTGTAAATTGGTATCGAACAAATTTAATTTAGGAGTTGACTAAAATTTAATTTCGTGATATTAACGATTTGTTCACTACGTGTAAATTAGTTTCAACAGTTTTTGATTGTAAGATTTATTTAAATATAACTAGACGAGATATAAAATTAGTTATTTCAGTATTCGGTGTCTACTTATGTGGTACTTTCGACCACTCGTTCAGTTATTTATTGTTTTGTTTTGTTTCGGTTTTGGTGTTGCCCGTTGGACTGATCGTCCTACCAATAAATCGGTCCAATGGGAAACTTCGGTTTCACATCAGTAAGACTAAGAACCTGTGAGGACTTTGAAATCTTGTTACAACATATATCAACACTTTTTGCACAATACTTCGGCTTTAATTTCGCATTTTAAGTTTTTTCAATTATTTTTGTGCATTGTATTGGCACATTACTTTCATTTGAAAATTCCTGTACGCACATACATGCTTTTATTTGTTAATCCGCCTTAATTTCGTATACAAATCTAAAAGAGTAATATTAGTAAGGAAGGGGAAACCATAAAACACGATTGGTTCGGTCAGACAATTTAGAATGTTTAGCGCCTCGCACACGTGTAGAGGGAATGAGGATATTTTATGACTCATCGTAAACCAGGTAACAAGCTTCGATCTGCTATAACAAACGAAAATCAAAGATGAAAATATGAAAACAAAATGGTTACATCACTAGAAATAATCTACGATCTTTTAAAAACATGATTAGGTATCTGTGATAAAAATAAACTGGTTAGATATTATTATTTTTTTAATTATAAATGTTATCTCGTCTCTGAATATAAATTATGCGGATATACATTGAGGTGAGGTCACTTAAATTCCTTATATGTGATGTATTGAAATTCGTATCCCTCGTATCCCTTGCATTTACTTATGTATGAGGTAAATCAAACGGCTTAGCGATTCCATTTATTTTATTACGTTTGCGGCAGATCGTTGTAATAAATTTCAAATTTGGGTATTAAAATAAATAGAGGACGAGTGACAATTTTTCAGAGTCTTAATGTTATATTGAGTCAGTTTACTATTTAAGTGCAGTTCATGTTTTTTCAGAAAATCGATTCTGTTTAATTGAGAACAAATATTCGAATATCGCTCACAAAAGCAAGTTTTTTTTGTTTTATTAATCGGTGTAAGAAATCGAAACCGTGCCAGAGTAGCAGCACAACACTAGATCACTTGCATACACGTCCCTTCCCTATAACATCTGTCAATGTCAATCTGAAATATTATGGATAAGCGCGCATTTCCTGGTCCTGGTGTAAAGTTGTTAGAATTATATTATTGTCTAATACTACTTTAACTTTTTGTAAAATTATGAGTTGAGGAAAATAAAGAAAGAATCAGACTATACCGTAGATTACGGTCGTTCAAGGAAAGATACAAGCAATAGAAATGTCCAAGAAATGAGAGAGGCGTAACTCGGCCTTCCGTCGGAGGAGTATTCTCAGCTATCGTACAACTTTTTCTATTGGTTATGTTTTTTTTTGTCACATTCAGAAAGACAAAACCTAACAGAAATTATACTTTTTTACGATGCAATGTGTGTTTTAATAGGATACGAAATATGTTATTATTTGCGATCCGTTCACATTTAGATGTTCACAATAAAGGTGTATTTGACATGGCCTTTGAATATTCCAAATGTCACAATAAATCATTCAAGCTGTGGCATTTCAGTGGAATTACAGGTTAAGCTATTCAAACACTGTATTTATTATGCTGCTAAGCGCTAATTGGTTCAGTATATGTTGTAGTTTGGTGTTTAAACAATTTAAAGAAATTCAAAATTTAGCAAAAGACAGAACAACTCTAAATCAGATCTCTAATTCCCCATCACTTTCCCTTACTTCTATTTACATTACCAAGGTACAAGATGAGACCTCTTCAATCCCATAAATGGACTTTTAATTACCGTAGAGAGGCGGCTGTTCTTTGAAATTTATTAAGTAACTAGAATTTAGACCCGCGCGTTTTAATTGGCGACGCGAAGAGAGAATTCCAGGATTGCGTTCAAAAGATCTGTCGCCGTTCCCATTTCCACTTTCTTTAATTAATTAAAGTTAAACGAAATTGCATCTTATTGTTTGAGAACTGAATTATATTTCGGCATGATAGTTACTGTAACACCAATAATATGGCATGTAAGAAGTACGATATCCTTTATTGTAGACACACAAATAGGAAAAAAACCCCACAATCAAATCAAAGTTATATGTCACATGAAAACATTCAAGTAAATAGGGTTTAGTGAAACGTCTCACATAAAGAGTGGTGAAGTGGCGACGGCCGGCGCGGCGAGCAGGCCAATAAAATCCTAGGAATAAATCTACCCTCGCAAGACATGCGGCCCCGGCGGGCCTTGCGTGTCGGTGCTTTTGTGGTGTGGCCAACAGAACTTTTAAACGCATTACTTTTGGTAACGCAACAAAGATATTAGCATTGAAAAGAAATCCTCAAGTCATGAACCCTACAGAAATTTAAATCAAAATTATTAGTTATTTATTAATCGTATCAAATTTGCTGTAACAAGTGGCGTATAATTAATACACCAGCTACCCGCTCCCGCTCCGCCTATGTCAGATTTCGTAGCCACGCAGCTAATGTGCTATCGATCCGGTAGTTTGGCAACGGTTACAGTCGGTGCCATGCGGCACACGTCATCGGCCAGCCCTGGCCCGGGGGTGAGGCTACCTACAGAACTTGCCGACTAATGCCAAATCGCATCTTGAGCTCGTTTGGGGACCGAAGGCAGACGTAACTTTGTTGTGCGGGCTACTGAATACGAAACGATATCATTAGATCAAAGCGTTTGTTTTGTTTTTGAATATTGCCCTTGCAGCGATATTTGTACAATAATTTCTTATATACCTTACACTGTATCTAAGGATCAATATGTTTATTGCCACTTAACTGATTAATTAATTCTGTCATAACATAAAGGGATTAACCAATCTATAAAGTAAACACATGGAATAATACATGACAATGTATCGTGTATGCAAATTAGTGGCTTCCGGCGAAATGTCAGATGTATTAGTTGATATTATGTTTACGATTACAATCACATCTATGAGATTCAAGTCTCTAGTACTATAAATTAATGACTAAATATAAATAATAGATTTTAGAGCACTGATAAGTCTTAGTCTAAAATCTTACTTTACCCATAATTAGGTTTCAATTTAGTTTCGCATTTTAGATGTCAAGTAGATATTTATACTTCTGCGTGTCTTCTGAAAATTAAGGTATTTGAATTTAGATTTTGGATACAACAATCCCTTTCCATTGTCTATTCATTCACATCCTGATACAAAATTTGGCAAACACTAAACACTACGGAACTACGTTATATCGGTGGTTAGGATTCCTAAATCATTTATTCCGTATTGGTCCTTTGCACATATACGGGCATCTTTATTGATTAGTTAACGTTTAGGTAGGAGTGATATTTCAACATCAGATGAACAGTTTACTCGTTTGCTTACATCACATAACAATTGAGATTAGTACTGAATAAGAGACAATCGCTAAGCGGGTGGCGTGTGCCGGTAGAGTTGACCGCGGCGGGGCGATGAGCGCGAGCACGCGGCGGGCGCGCGCGGGGGCGGGCGCGGGGCTGCGGACGGGCGACTCCACGCCCGGCTCCGACGTCGGCGAGATCACGCGCCTCTTCCCCAAGTGCCGCCCCAGGAACAGCCAGCACCAGCACGATAGGTAACACGCACCTCTCCTAACCTCACACCCCACATAACCTCACAACCTAACCTAACACATCACGCCTAACCTAACACATCACGCCTAACCTAACATGTGCCCTGCGACACGGCTTCAGCTACACAATGATAAGTACACTATTCATTTAAACGAGGCTACTGCTATTACTGGTAATAAACCGATAGCTAAAATATTAAATTAAAAGAGTTAGTTTACGTCGAGAGTAATAATTTTCAATCCAGCGTTTCAGTGATGCTTTTACATTCATTATTATATTGATAACAGAGGCTTAAAGCGCAATGTTGTGTATTCTCTAGTTTAGATAAATTGAAGTTAAGAAATCAAATGTTTGTTTATTAAGATTAAATAAACCTAAAGCATAACATCTTTTTTTCTCGGGAATTGATCGTCGATTAAATGTATACTTTAACTGCGTGCTTCATTTAAAACAATTGTTGAGGAAGTCTGGAATACCCGTGGCTACTATGCGAAGCTTTATCGCTTGTTTGCTTAAAAATAGCTTACGTAGAACATAATCAGCGTCTCGTCAAAACTGATCGAACATTGGCAGCTTAAGTAGTACTCTAAGTGAACATTGCAATGCATCGATACTGGCTACGTCTTGTTTAGTAGTGTTCGAAACCTTGCTGATGGAATATCAAAATTTTAACATACTATATATTACTTTTTAATTATTAATAATTATGATAACGAAATAATTACATAGGTAATGCCGCTGCGCCGATAAAGTAAATAACGATGTGATCACATAATATTAAACAAAACATTAATTTACATGTAATCATTCGTTTAGGATTTACAATAAAGAGACTAAAGTGTGTAAGGACATTAATTAAGGCGATGCCATGGGAAGCATGTGTAATGTGTTAAAGTTCTTCTAATATATGAAATAAATAGATCCAGTGAATCGTTTATAAACTTTAACAAGTATCGTATTCATCTATAAGTACACATGCACCGAATAGCAACCGACAATCGTAGCTCGTGTTTACGTAATCGTCGGATCGCGTGTTCAATCCCTAACTTATTGGCGGGCCGTCACGTGCCTCGACTTGCCTTTGTGTCAAGTCACGTGATCGCAGTTTAATTACAAACGTCGATATTAAACCGGGCCATAGCTTTATGTTTAACACGTGGAATCCTCGTAAAGTCAAGTTTTACGTGTATACAGAGAGCAAAGGAGGAAATTGTAAGGCTTATGTGACGAATTACAGGAGTTAAAAAAGGATGGTTATACCGACCTACGTTTAGAAAACATATCTTAATGTTGACAGGTTTTCGGTAATATATCCACGAGTTTGGGACTGCCTTTGTTTGGACATTTTCGTATCTATTATTTGAAAATTGTGTAGAGAATGTGGAAACAGTTCTGAGACTTTTTTTTTAACATGAAATCAAAATGATTACTACCCTAGTGATTAAAAACGTTTATGAAAAAATTGAGTTTCAGAGTTTTTAAAACACAGGTTATTAAGCTAAAGTCCTAAATCTATGTTTTATTTTCTTTTAGGTGACCTAATATTGAATGTATCGTTGGTTACTATTGAGATTATTTCCTTGCAAAATACAGATTATATATTTTACATTGTGTAATTTTTATGCCAGGTTTTTTGCGATATATGGAAGCTTGTGATAGTCGAACCTTTGTCAGGTTACGATTTAAAATATAATATTACTGAATTATTTTATTGTAATAGTGTTTTGGTATTTATAATAATTTCATTTTGTTTATTTAATAACTTTTGTTATTCGGTTTATGTTCTGTCTGCACGCTTGCACGTATGAACTTGAGTACTTATCTAAGAAAACAATAAAGGTAAGTTAAGCATGTACTTTGCCTTGCCATAGTTTAGCTATAAACTGTAGCTATAACTTATCTCTTTCACTAGGAATTAGCCGCGCTCGACTGCTAATGTAGCAGCGGCAGTGGAAATACTTGCTAAGTGGCAAGTGTTGCACCCTGTATCGAATAATAGATGGGGTATATGTTTTATATGCTGATGGTTTGTCTTCCAGGTTAGTCGTGGGCGTGGGCGTGGGCGTTGGCGTGGAGGGCCGCGAGATGAACGCCGTTAATAACGCGTCCTCGGACGAGGAGCGGGCAGCGGATAGCCAGCTCGTCATACTCAACTCCAAGGGAGGTGCCTACAAGTTGAGAGACTCAAGGTACAGTTATCTGTACTAACATTATAAGGAAGAATGATTTGTGTATTTGGATTTTTGTATATATTGAAATAACTCAAAAACTACTAAGCCGATGTCAAAAATTTAAAAGCTACGTTATTGCTGAGTAACATAGGCTATATTTTTTAATTTTACCTGAACGAAGTCGCGAGCAACAGCTAGTACTTATCATTAAAAATACTAAAGCTACAATCTAAGTTGTAAAGTTGCTATTTCATATCCATAGATTTTAGAATTTTATTTATTTACTTTGTAAACTAGATTACAAGTAAGAAAATTGTTTGTCATGTACTGCTATTTTCTTTCCCTGAAATATGTTGTCTAGGCATTTAGTTTACTTCAGTGTCTTTTTCAAAGCTGCTTCTTGTCGTTTTTAGTAAAAAAATCGATTTACAACTCTTTCCAGAATAATCGAGATTGCGGGCGGTCGCGAGGTGTACTCGCAGAGCCGCACAAAGGCAGCTCGCAAGCTGCGGCACAGCGCCACGCACAAACACAATCTGCGCAACAAGCGCGCTCCACACAACATCAACGAAGACTACACAGACAATCTCAATAATGAGGTAAGCCAACACTAACCAACAGCAACCAATATTAGTCAACACAAGCCAAAAAACTCTAAACACATCTTGTTAATGTGGCACAAACATATGCATTTAAATCTTGATATTGTCTGAATTCGCGTACAGCTAGTTTCGTTGAAAAACCTTTGAACCTCTTGAAAGATAATTTTCGTTTTCAGATATCTCTACACAGAATTATCAATGAGCCGAAAAAAATGATATCACGTCACACTTCCCCAACGTACACGAACGGAGATAGGGAAGCAATCATAGACAATACGATGGGCATCCCTAAGAATAGCTCGCCTATACTGGACCCGCACAAGACCACTGATGTCAGTGCAAAGAGCAGCCCCATCGCTGTTGTGGCTGACGGGGAGGTGATGGTCTTTGATGATAATGACGACTGGAAAGGTACATCACTATTTTTTTACTCAATAATATGTTGGGTAAATAAGATTTTGAACTAGTGAAGTAGACATTATGAATGTTATTTACTACATTTGTAATATCTGTTAAATCATATTTCTTATTAATATTATAAATACGAAAGTTTAGATGGATGGATGGATGTTTGTTAAAGATTGTAGACTAAACCGCTTAACGGATCTGGACAAAATTTGACTTACATGTAGAACAAAGTCTGGAAGAACACATAGGCTACTTTTTTTAATTCCACGCAGACGGAGACGCGGGCAAAAGCTAGTGTTTAATAAAAATGAAAGTAATGCCATGTTTTAATACAAATGTTTCGACAGTGATGAAACCAAAGACCTAAAACCGTATACAGGTGATTCTTTATGGCTCAAACGCTTTGTAGACGTAGAGGATCCTGTATGCATGTGTTAATTCAGGGTCCTGGGTAATTTTAATCGACTTTGAGTTTTATATCATCTTCATATTTTATCCTTGTTATTTTTATTTAGTATTACGTACCAAGTGTCAGTATAAATCCCCCTGTAGCTGTTAATTTTAAGGATCTGGTAAAATGAAGCTGCTCAAAGTTTATTAAGCCATCGCGTATCCCATTAAACGAATGTAGCGGAACTCCCGCGGGACTGTGTTTGTATTAAAATGTTAACGCGACTGTGTAGAGCCATTTACGAGTTAAAACGGCTTATGTGCTTTTGATGGGAAAATTTGCGTGTCCCATGATTTAGTCATACTTCTTATTAATATTATAAATGCGAAAGTTTAGATGGATCTAACACACTCTAGTATGTAGCCTAAAAACTCAACGGATCTCGATGAAATTTGCCATAGATAGTCTGGGCGAACACATAAGCTATTTGCTTTTGATATTTATAATTCCACGCAGGCAAAAGCTAGGGAGAGTTTGTGTCTTTGATTAATCTATTCTAGTACCAGCATTTTTTCCTATTAACAAATGAATGTTTGTATGCTTTTGTACTAAGTTAGAGTTAAACGTAGGTTAAGTGCATTTATAAATACAAAAGATTTACTTGTTTCCTTTTTATTTTCAGTGATATTGAATTCTGTGTCCCTAGGTTTGAGGATGGACCCGGACGTTAGTGACGATGATATAGACACGAGTGTTAAGCGAACTTTAGACTGTATGAAGAACGGTGATGGTGATGTGAACAATAAGAGTGAACTGAGTGAGGGCAGTGAGTCTTCGCCCTCTGGCAGCCCGGGCACGTGGCTGTCGGGGGACGAGGGCGGCAGGGAGGGGAGGGTGACGCGGGTCATAGGGGAGCTACCTATCGCGGAGTACGAGGGTTCACCCCGCAGGTACGGGGTCGGCAGCCAGAAGACTAGCAACAGATCGCCGAGACCCGGCTTCCCACAGGTAAGTACTTAGTGCGGCTCGAAGGACTTTCATTTAATTATGACCAAGAAAAACTAACAGAAGACAAGACTAACCGTACAAATCTGACCACTCGTGGCTAGTTGTTGCGGCCACATACTAATAAAAGTAGGGTTTAAATAAAAGAGTAAGGATCGTTTACAGATTTTATTATGCTTGTAAATCACCGTATTGTTGTGTGTTTCAGAGGGTGGTGACGGAGAGCCGCGGAGAGTCCCCGCCGGTCAGTTCCGCTTTCGACTACCTGTATGAGTTCTCGGAGACGCGCAAAGTGCTGGAAGAGTTCTTCCGCTGCCCCGCCGCACCAGGACACACGCAGCTCGCCGCCAACGACGACATCGTCAACTTCCAGGTATATTTCAAACATTGTAACGAATGAATTATGTTTTAAAAATACAAATAATAATTTCATGATGATTGCCAAGGACTTGGAGTATGAGCTGCGACGGCAGACACAAGATTGTCCATCAGAGAACGGTGTGGAGGAGGGTAGCGAGACAGACTGGCCCCAACCTGACCAGCTCGATGGACTCGACTCCCCCCACGCGCCGCACAACCACACCAACTTCCTTGGCCTGCAGGTCAGCACAAAAGACTATTATGAAATGGCTAACTAAATGTACAATCGCGGAAAGCTGCGGTGTTCCACTTCAGGAAAAATTGCCTTGTTCATTGAAATGAGACAAACTCCACCTATTTACTAATAACTAATAAGATCGCAGTTAGTGCAAACGAAGGGATAATAAAAAGTAACTAGCGATGTAGTGATACATATTCGTAGAAATACAAACACATTTATAAACTTTATATTGATTTTTATTCTGCATCTCGTTTCAAAATGTTGAAACGATTGTAGCTTTTGGGGCCTGTCCCACAAAATTGTAAATTGTCTGATAACAATCCAACGTGATAAATATGTAATGGAAATATCGGATTTTGTTGCCTCATCTGACAGTGACATCATTTTTTATCTATCTAAGCCGCATCAGCCAGTGGTGGGACAGGCCCTAAACATTTCACAATGTTCTTACAGCAACAAACGTCACGATACACGGCGCCAGATGTGTCAGCGCTACGAGCAGGTCCCCTCGACAGCGGCTCCACGTCCCCCGCTCCCAGGACATCGTTACGAGACTTACGTGACATGCGTGATACACGTGACGCACGTGACACACGTGATGTACGCGATTTACGTGATGCCAGAGACCCTCGCGATTTGAGGGACTTGCTGGAGGCTCGTGATCACGGATCGCGTGAACGACTCCCTTTCGCCCTGTCGTCGGCTGCCAGCGACTCGGCCAGCGACCTCTCACTGGCCATCATGGAGAGTGAACTCTCCGAAATGAAAGGTAATTTATGATTAGATATTTTCCGGTAATTATTTAAAAATAAAAACGTACGTTTGACGCGGTAACGCTAGTTAGAGGTCGTCCTGATAAATAAATATTCAGTCATCTCTTGTCTTCAGTAATAATAAAGATTATATGGATATTTTTCCAGTGCAACTGGACTCTAACCGTGTTGTGGTGACACACCTGCCGGTAGTGGAGGACGGCCTCTCCTCCGGACACGCCTCCGACACTGACAATAATAATCAGGTAAGAATATACGTAAAATATAAAAAAAATGAATCCAAGAATTCTCGAAAAGAAAATTCTTCAGTTCAGTAATCAAATGTAATTTTTATTAACACTAGAGCGTTGTTTTTTACAGAATTCATCGGTAATAATAGAGGAAATAGTGGAGAATGGAACAATTTCTGATCCGCTCATACTGTCCGACGCTGATCTACACTCGCTGGATCCTTTAGGTAAAGTATCCCGCATTATGTAAAATAACCTCGAAGGAATTATCTAGATTAGAGGTTTGTCCTTCTAAATTGTACATTGTCTGTTAACAACCCAACGTGTAAATTATGTGATGGAAATATCGGGTTTTATTACATTTTCTGACAGTGACGTCATTTTTAAGCTATCTGAGCCTCTATCAGCCAGTGGTGGGACAGACCCTTAAGGCTATAAATGAATATTGTTATATGTAATGTTTGTATACCCTCAGCCTGTTCAGGTCCGCCGCCGCCCGCACCCGCGCCGCACCGGCCGCCCGCAGAGCACGCCGTGCTGCCCACGCACGCGCCTCACGCACCTCATGTGCCCCACGTGCCCCACGTGCCTCACGCGCCGCACGTGCCCCACGCGCCGCACGTGCCTCACGCCGCGCACGGCACGCACACGCCGCACATACACGCCGCACACGACGACGTTTACCCACGGTCAGTTTATTAATATTATAAAGATAAAAGATTTGTATTTTTAAGATTTACATGTATTGAAAACTCAAAAACTACTGGACGGGTTTCGAAAAATCTTTCACTATTTAAAAGCTACGTTATCACCGAGTAACATAGTCTATTTTTCAACTATTCTCTAATACCACGCTGACGAAGTCGCGAGCAACAGCTAGTATATGAAGGAATGTGTAATTTTTCCATTCAATTTTGATTACTTCAAATTTATAGATACAATAACCTATGCTACATTTAAAAAATAATCTTGTATATAGGTGAAATGAAAAAAAAGAGTAGATATAATTTACCCGTCTACCTTTATAAGGCTTTAATACCAGACTTTCTAAAAGTAGACATGCTCCAAAAGCAATTCATAGTTCGTAGACAATGCCAGCCAGTGATTTGGACTAAGATTTTATAAGTTAGCATAACATAATAAATGTATGAATGTTGTGTTCCAGTAAGAGGCCGTCGTCAGCGCAGAGCACAGAGTCAGTCGAGATCAAACAGGCGAGCGGCGACGAAGGTACCTCGGATATTTTATAATTATAAAAACCACTCTTGTTCTGTTTTGTACAATCGGGAAATCTCGCAGTGTCACATCTACAATTTGAATTTTATACAGCTAATTACACACTCTCTACTACGAGTTACATATAAAAAGGGATTGTAAATTTATCTATACTCTCATACTAATGTTATAAAGATGAAAGATTTTTATTTTTGTATGTATTGAAATACCTCTAAAACTATTGGGCCGATTTAAAAAATTCTTTCACCATTAGAAAACTACGTTATCAGTGAGTAACATAGGCTACATTTTTTTATTATTTATTTATTTAGAGCATCAGCTTTTATTTATATGAAGGGGAGTTAGTCTCATTGCAAGTAATAATTTGTAAGTGGGACACCGCGTATTTCCGCGACTGTACTTGTGTGATTATCTAAATTAATTAAATAAATTCTTAATAATTTCCAGACGAAGCGGACACCGATCTGGAGACTGACAGGCTGCTGGGCCAGCAGAGGACGGATGATCAGGGATTCTTTGATGATAAAGTGAGTTTTCTATAAAAAGATTCAAATGTAAAAGCAACCTTATTCGATTGTAATAGGAACTATATTGGCATTGAGGATAATAGTTTAAAAATACATTAACCGTCTTAACTAATTTGACCATAAAACCACGAATATTTATAAAACTATTAAACAAAAAAAATAATCAAATTGAAAATCAGTTTAATAGTTGCTTCAAACTTTACCTTACAAAAAACTAAATTTCTTTAATTAAACATATCGTTGTATTCAAATAGTACTAATTTAAATTCTCATATTAGTCACTAACTTACAGGTTTAATTAAAGAAAATGTATTGTAAAATGAACCTTATTGTTTATAATATAAGGTGTTACGTTATCAGGTGTGTCAGCGATATATCGGCGGAGTGCGCGTGAGCAATCGAAATTTATACGACGCCGCGACCTTGCTCTCTTGTTGTACTGTCGTAGATTAAATAATCGAAGAATGGCAACTTGTTCTTGTTAATAATTTATTGTAATAGTAATTTAATAAAAACAAAACTAGTATACATTTTATTGTATAACTAGCTGTGGCTCGCGACTTCGCCTGCGTGCAAATAAAAAAAATATAAAAGCATAGACTGTTACTGATAACGTAGCTTTATAATAGTCAAAGAATTTTTGAAATTTTAATAATCACCAACGAAAATGATAACATTTATTAATATTAGGCATAAAAAATAAACTGTATAAATACAAAATGTTAATTACTCTTTGACCATCATATGTTACTCGCATTAGACAGCGGGTCAGTCAGTCGTCATTGACACAGCGCACCGACATGTAGACTGGCCGAGTTTACTTTACGATAACGAAATTATCTTTAGGGAAAGTGACCAAGTCTGATAGCATTTTATTGACGTATGCTAATGTTTTTACATATATTTTACACGCGATATATGAAACATATGCTGTTATTTATTAAAAATGGACGAGGAATCTGCGAATTTAGTCAATAACTTTGATTTAAATGGTTTAAAGATTAAAAAAATTGTCGATAGTGATGTTCGTGAAAATGATTTCTCCAGTGAGTGTGTGGAAAGTGAAAGTTTGGCGCAAAATACTGTTGCAGAAGTGCCAAGTGTATCGAATGGGGAAAATGTAAACAATAAAATAAGTGATGCAATTTCGGACGATGATTCTGATGCAACTAAGAATAGAGAGGTTTTGTTCAAATATTATACTACTTTATTTACGTACTTACTTCAGAATCGGTTTACTTGCCTTATGACTATAGGGACTTTATTTAGGATTATTCCCAACCGTCACCCCGGTCTGTCCCCGCGTGAGAATAAACCCTTATCCGTCCCACCTTTTAGTCCCACTGTTTAACTTGTTACCGACAGCGCGGCAGCCAAAAATACAAAACACTTATTATCAACCAAACATATCTTTATTTTAAAACTTATTTACACAAAATATATACAAATTTAAAACTCTCTTGATTACATCTTGACTTCTTCTTTATATTTATTCTTTCATAAACGATTATTGCCTTGGTGGCCAGTATGCAACCTCTTTGGCTGTATATATACTGCTTGTCAGCCAAAGAGGTTGTATTTTGCACTCAACACCCACTATCAGCAATAAGGTGACAGATTGAACCGTTATGATATAAAAGTTCCAACCGTCCCCTCGTCGCAAAAGGGTGGTACTGATGAAACTTTTTATCTGTCTCCACGTGGGGACAGAGCGGAGTGACGGTTGGGAATAATCCCTTATTTGCATTAACAAAGTTTGGCAATTAAGATACATTTAATTCTGCTTAAAGAACTTATTATCGAAGCACAGCATTTACATTACATGTCCATATGTAAAGAGTATTAAAAATGTATAGAAAGGCGGTAATCAATTAATGTTGAATCGTTCTAATTAGACCTTACTGTTGAATTATTTTCTGATACATTTAACATGCAACATATCAATAAACTAGATCAAGTAAAGCAAACTTGCTCTTGCTTCAGGACTTGCTACCACTACTACTCGTAAGTCTTGTTTGACACGCACATCTAAAGCATTTGTTAGTTAAAAACGTCGCTATCGATTCTTATTAAAATATTTTTATGCAAACGTTTTGATGACCCATAAAATCTGATTTGAATCTTTGATTCTATTGAATAGGATTGTTTAGTTAGTTTGTTACGTTAAATATGGGGTTACCCGGGCAGGGCTGGCGCAAGCCCAAGTCCCGTACGGTGATGCCGGCGGGCGGGGTGGCTGGCGGGGCTGGGGGCGGGGCCGGGGGCGCGGCGGGGGCGTGCGCGGGCGCGGGGGGCGGGCGCTCGCCGCGCTCGCTGGCCTCGCACGACGCCGCCAATGAGGATGTGCTGCATGCAGCCAAGGTGCGTGCTACATGTGCCAGATCAGGGGTGGCGAACATTTATGCATCAAAATGCTTTTTTAAAAAAAAAAATACTTAATGCGGTCTTAGATGTGCCATCTGACGTGAATTTCGACTGTGATTATTACTTCGATTACATGCATCTACTTCATAATTTTGTGTGTTTTTATGACTTACGACTTGCTCAAAATGTTGTGTGCCATTTATGTCATGCGTGCCAGTGGTTCGCCACCCCTGTACTAGATGTTTAACTATAGCCAGTTGTTTTCTTTTTAAATTAGAATTTTCATAATCATTGTTAGGAGCATGCACACATGTAAATACATTAATTCTTCGTAGTGAACATTTGTAATTAATCCCGGACCTAAAGTACGGATTACCGGTAGTTTCTCATATCACAACAAATCATTTTAAAACGGTTATCATTTGTTCATAGCGTTACTTGAACTTTTATCGTACGAACGTCTTGCTCGTCTCGTCTAAAGTTAAGAACTATTACTATCATAAGTTAGTGCATCAAAGAAAATACATTGTGTATGTGAATGTACTTGTATAGTTATAATTTTAACATTTTTAATAGAAATAAAATTATTATTTCCAGGACAAAGATGGCAAGAAGAAAACAAAAAATAAAGAAGGTGAGTACAGTATGTTTAATTGTCCACTATTATTAACAAATAAAACCCGTACATTTTTAAGTATGAGACAATATATGATATAACTTTTTTAAATTTGCTTGCCCTCCTTTGGATGCTTCGGTGAGTAAAATTAACCAAGAGTAACTTTAAAACTAGTAAAAAATCTATTGCTATTTCTACTACTCTCAATCCATTGCAGTGTTATGCTTTGACTATATTGATTTCCTAAAAAAACTTTGCATATGACAAATCACATAAAGATGCGTTTACTCTATAAAAGAGTTTTCATCACTTTCAAAGAGTAAACATCCATTCAACCATCTAATTTTTCGCATTATTATGTACTAGCTGTTTCCGTGGGACTTCATCCATATAAAATTATGAAAATTTTATTTTATTGTTTACATCTGTCAAATTATCAATTACAAATGTCAAAATGATATGACATGATGACAACCTTGCTTCCTTGATGTTGGCAGCAATTTATGGTCTCTTTCCCACATTAGGGTTTTTATCCAAAATATTTACCCCCTCAGTTTAATGGCGTTAAAATATATAGGCTAAAGCGTGACGCAAGTTTGGGGCTTTTTATTAAAAAAGACAAATTCCAAAATATGTTGTAATTGCTGACATCTTAGGCAACAAAGAAGTGTGTGTTTACACTTTATTATAATAGTACAGATAATTAATAACAGCTGAACTCAGAGTCGTAAAGTAAATAATAATAGTTGAAATCTATAATTACAATAAAACCATCAAAAGTTTCACACTAGCCATCTTTGACTCAGCCTTTGAACTTAAATAGCTGGACATAACCTTATTCTCTTACACACCATTTTTCTGGGTGCTGGAAATCTTATTTTTGTCCGCTTTCCCTTCCCACCGTTTTCTTATAAGGAAAAAAAAGGGGAAGTACATTAGACGGAGGGATGCATAGGACGGGCGATATTTCCTCTTTCTGTGCGTCCTCTCCACCGATTAGAGATAGACAACTGGATATACGGATGTCTTTTGGCCGCGATACCTTCCTTGTTTTGGAAAATTCTGCTTGCCTCTCGCTCTACTATAAAAATATATATAACCTGTAAATCTTTTACCGCACTTTGTAAAGAAAGTATCAAATGTGTAGATAAGTACAACACTTATATGAATTGGGAACACGGCATTTTCTCACACCATTCCAGGAATCAACATTCACGCAATCAGAGTTATGAAATATTCATGAAATCCACATACGGCAGATGTTCGTAGTAAGCCTAGCAAAGTGATATATTTCTTTGATAGACGAAAATGATGCGACGAAATAAATACTCGTTTTGAGAGCAACGTTTAGCTTTGAAGCAAAGAATTGCCGTTGAAGATTTTTACCCAGGTTACTCAAGCAGTTAATGTACGGGCACGTTTCCATGGTAAAGGATTGCGGACGGATACGGACGCAATGTGGAAACAAATATGGCCCGAAGTCATC